TCATGAGATTAAATAAAAACCTGTACGGTTCGCAGTTACTGGACCTCTCGCCGCTACTTTCCTTTGTTATATTTATCACATTACTTTACGTTCCGATTTATACAGTAGTTCAGAGACGTATTGTCTTTTTTTTCACTCGGCTTCTCTATACTATAATGAAATTTGATTAAAATGTACACTGCATATAAAGAAAAACATTTAACACCTTTTTAACCCCTTATTTCCAGTCATTTTTTCTCAAATCCCGATAACTCGAACTCCCGATAACTCGAACCTTTTTAAATTTCCCTTGAAGGTTCGAGTTATCGGGAGTCGACTGTAATTTTAAATGGGAATGGTTATGGCAAAAACAAAATGACATTTCAAGCTTTTCAGCTTTTCGCTTTCATCGCAATGTTTTATGGTTTTGTTGTCAATGCAATTATCTAAAAAAAGAAATACTCATTTAGTTTTTCCCTCCTAAATCATCTGTTATTTCCTTAGTGATGGGCTCCTGGTTATGCGTAACACCGTAACACCACGCGCGGCATCACGCGTGACAAAATATCAATAGCGCCCAATATGGGACTTGAACCCATGACCCTCAGATTAAAAGTCTGATGCTCTACTGACTGAGCTAACCGGGCAGTTATTCATTTCTGTTATATTGTTGATTAATTCAAGAAGTTAAGTAGGTGATTTAATTGGAAATTTTTATGATAAAAAGTGAAATGACAGTTCAAGCTCATGTTCGGGATAATCTGACTTAACATATCGAATATTTAATTTCTTTCATTCAGCTCGCCTTTGCATTTCATTATCATTTTGTTACGCACTTATTAGTCTCGTTACAAGTCGTTATGTTCTCAATAATTTCGGGAGAGATCGAAGGAGTACAACGGGCAAAGTTTTCATCACAAACAGATTCGTCAACGAGATGAATGATCAGCGGGCCTGAAAAACAACCAGATATTTTTTATATACTTAGAAGAGGAAGTCTTGTGACTGAAAATTAAGACTTTTTATGACGTTTAAGCCAGTGATGACAAGCTGGGTGATGTAAAAAGCAACGCATTCCAGTATCATATCACTTTTGCCTGTTTGCATCAAATCGATTCAAACATGGTTGGACTTTTGGCGTGGAGTCTCCTTTGCCTTGTGCCAAGTATTGCCTCAAGCTTTCCTGACGATGCGCCTAAAGTAGAACTGGCCCTGTATTACGAAAGCTTGTGTCCTGACTGCCAACTGTTTATTAGACAGCAGCTTTATCCAACGTACCTCAAGGTCAGCGATATTTTAGACCTGACGCTTGTCCCGTATGGAAATGCCGAAGAAAGAAAGAGTGGAGACAAGTGGGTATTCCAGTGCCAACACGGGCCAAAAGAGTGCGAAGGGAATCTCATTGAAACTTGCGCCATCTCTCTCCTCAAGAACATTTCGGCATCGCTGCCTTTTGTTTATTGCTTTGAGAAGAATATCGAGGGTTCTGAGGAACCAAAAGCAGTGGCCGAGACCTGTGCCAAGTCTCTGAAAATTGATTATGATTCAATCGAAGCTTGCGTGAGCGGTTCTTTAGGAAACGAACTGGAGCACAAGATGGCTGCGATGACGGATGCGTTAGAACCACAGCACCAGTACGTTCCGTGGGTGACCGTAAATGGAAAGCACACTGAAAAGATTCAGAACAAGGCCGAAAGAAATTTGTTGGAGCTTGTCTGTGAGTACTACACAGGAACGAAGCCAAAGCCTTGTGAAAAGCAAGAGTTCGACCGATGTTACAAGAGTACTTTACCTCTAATCGAGTTGAAAAAGGCACTGCGGCTTCGTGATGTGTAAGCTGCATTGACGAAATTATATAATTTGTTGTCAACAATGCACTTATGTAACTTGGTATTGTGGCACTAAATAAATTGAAAATGAGTCCAATCAATTGTCTTTCACTCGATCATTTAATGAAAAAAACCCCCACAAACGGTACTGACTTAATACGTATCTTTTATTCCTCTTACGTTTTCTGTTCTCGAAAAGATTTGCTGTACCTGATCTTTATTTTATTTGGGAAATACGAGCCACCTCTTGAGGCATTGAATGACTTGCCAGTAATCGGATCCTGAGGCTCGATTTCCGCCGCTCTCTCAAGTCCGGTCTTTTTCGTTCTCCTGGGATGGCTGGGGTCAAATATTGCATGTTACAAGAAGAAATATAATTGTCTGAAACAAGTTCTCGAACTCCGAATTCAACTCAATTCACAAACATTTGCTCAGCGTTTAGTTTATTATCACCGGTTAACCCTTTTTGAAACTCTACACGAGTCATTTCCCATGATTATTACATGTTGAGCCTGACCTTTACCGTCGCTTCCTGCTCGTTGATGTTTTATTAACTTGATTTGATTGTCTTTGATTTGGCACATTGCCTTTTCTTTCACGTAACTCAATGATCTGTACGAGAAATCACTCCTACAAATCTTAAATCGAACTTAACATTCTAGTTTCGACAGGAAAAAAAATTTGGTGGAAAGAACAACACTCGGTTCAGCGCTGTTTTATCAGAAATGGATTATGGCAATGTCGACAGGAGAGAAGTGCAAATAAGGTTTATTGTGCATCGTCATCGCGTCATGGTCTTGAAAGTTACAAAATTAGAAATAACATATTGAGTACCTTTGGTATATCGGGCTAGGCTTGGACCTGCTTTATTTTGTTTTTTTTTTTCTCGGTTATCTTCATAGGGAGGCGCTCATCGAGAGCACAAGCAACTCGCAAGCGTGAGAGAGATGTTACCTTTACAGGCTACAAGGGTCATAGAATGTTTAAAAGTAATTCAGGGATTGTTGTGCCGAAAGCGCCTCGCGCGAAAACGTGATGTAGTACAAAAAAAAAAACAACAACGACAACAAACAAAAATAATATATTTGTTGTTGCTGAAAAAACGAAGGGATCGACGAATAGGAGAGTCAGTGGGAAGCACAAATCAGTCTCGTGAAAAGCACATGACCTGGATGCTAAATTGGAAAATAATAATAGTTCCCCACCCCCTCACCCTTCCCTCAACCGTCCCCCCTCCCCTTACCCCTCCCCCTCTACTTACCCCTCCCCATCCCCTTCGAGCGATTATCAAATACCCGCCAAAACTGGCTATACTACAGCTTAGAGGGTGCAAATGAAAAATGGAATCAAAAGGTAAATAAAGGAAACCCAATACGACTACCCTCCCACTTAGTGTCATTATTATTCATCATTATTGGTTATCGGGGTTGGGTGGGGATCCGATTTGATCTCTCTCGAATACGGTTGAACTAAAAACGAGCCAAATGGCCGCAAATAAGCCGAGAAAACTCACTAGATTCAAAGGAATAAACACATAAGGGGGGGAAGTTGACTCAAAATCAGTGCAGATATTAAGGTTAGGAACGCAACCATTCATTCCGCCATAAAAATCCATCTTTCATGCCGGTTGCGTAACACAAACATATGAACTATTTAAGGAGGCTTATTTTTTTCAGCTAAGGTGACCTATGCTTACCTGTCCATCATGCGAGCCCATCCTTCCCCGGATCAACGTTGGAACCATTTTAGGTATTACATCGTCGACACCATACAGCCATGTGCTTTTCATGAGAAAGTCACGAGCCGTCCCTGTGCCAGGGTATAAAGGTTGGAATGCCTCTGACTAGAGTCAGTGATCCTTGTCGAGGCAAGATGAAAATCAAGCTGTATATACTCTTCGTACTTCTGGCTGCTCTCCCTGTGTTCTGTGTCGGAGCACCGGCGGCTGCACCAAAAGTTGAAATAGCGCTGTACTACGAGTCGCTGTGTGGAGGATGCAGGCAATTCATAGAGACGCAGTTCTATCCAACATTTCTGAAGGTTGGCCAGATCATGGATGTGACCCTCGTGCCGTATGGAAATGCACAAGAGAGTCGCACCGGAGATGAATGGCGTTTTACATGTCAGCACGGAGAGGCAGAATGCGTTGGTAACATCATCGAAACATGTGCTATTTCTATCCTTCAGAATGCAACATCTTTCTTTCCTTTCATCCACTGTCTGGAGTCGACCATCGCCGAATACAATCCAGTATCTGCAGCAGAGCAGTGTGCAGGGCAACTAGGCATTGATTTCTCCTCTATTGACAAGTGCCAATCGGGTGCCCAGGGAAATGCCCTGGAGCATGAAATGGCTCTGAAGACCAACGCGCTCAATCCTCCCCATTACTTTGTTCCATGGATCACGCTGAACGGCAAACACACCGACGAAATACAGAACAGGGCCACGTTTGATCTACTAGGACTTGTGTGTGACACCTACAAAGGCACTAAACCTGATGCCTGTCAAAAGAAAGAGTCTGCGATTTCTCGCTGTTATCGGCACGCGTAATGCAAAAGGCATTTAAGAAAGAACGCTTTCATAGGAATACTTATGAACTCAATTGTAATTTCATGGTTAACCTGTCTAATTGCCTTTTTCGTGGAATTTTATGAATTGTGCGATCCTTTTTAATAACTATGAACTGCGTCACGCAACGATTGACTACTACAGGTTCGTGTTACCAAGCGATTGCGTCGTGTTTTATCCCAAGCGCTTGAAATAGAATTACGAAACTTGATGCAACATGCAAAAATTCCTCTCCACAGGCAAAAATATCGTTTTGTAATCTCGAATCCTTTCCAATGTTAACCTGAATGGCTCAATTTTGCATTTGGAATAAAAGCCAATGTAAAGAAAGATTGCGTGATTTATGTTGTCATTGATTGTTCGAATAAAACGACCAGGACAGACTTCCCCTTTTGTATTTTTGTTTCGAAACTTTAAGGTCTAGTACATATTCAACGCTGGTTTTGATTCGTTTTGACGATAAATGTGTCCTGTATACTCAAACATCACGCTTAAAATCAAATGATGCGTTCTTGTGACCAATGAGAAAAAAAGGAGCCACACAAATTGTTCAGGATACCGTGAAATAATAGTGTCAGTCTGTTAAGTCACAGCAAAGAGCCTTGCGTGAATTACATAGTCTTCCTTCAGGTCCGTCACGTTTGTCACGTAAACCAACAATAGGCTCCCTGCAAACCTTCGTCTTTTTAAATATTGCGTGACTGAAACCTACCTCCCCCCCCCCCCTCCTCCTTCCTCCTCGACAAAGAGTGAAATAAAATAAAAGCTTCTCTGGCCTGCAGACTACCCTAGCGGCTTATCCACAAACGCGTAAGTCCCGAAAGCAAAATACGATCACGTTCCACTTAGCAGACCATATAAGAGACCATATCAAGCCTTTTTACGTGGTTTAGCCGATGATCCCGCGTCCTCATCGCTGCGGCCCGGGCTCAATTCACCACTTGAAGTTTCGACTTATGTTTCTAATCTGTGTTTAGACGAGATGTTTTAGGAATCACTCGCGGCATAAAAAGAGTTCCAGACAAACTGATTTCTTATTTTAAGGAGGGGATCATGTGCATTAAGTCCATGTTACAACACGGTCAGGGAATGGGATCATCTGCGCCTTGCACGCTTGAAGTCGGGCGGAACTAAAACCAAACTTCTCGTGGAAAGCTATCAGAAGGAACGACTTTTCAATTTTAATTCATAAAAATGCCCGGAAAAATTTTAATTACCCTTTGTTGTTTGGTGGCTGAATGTTTTAAGCAGTGATTGTCTGTCAGGTTTCACACACAGACTTGTCACGTGGTGCGAGGGAGGGCGACAGTGTATGGTTGAGGAACAGAGTTTAAGAATTGGCAAAGTAGCCGTGCAATAAAATCGATTATTTTGTTTTTAGCGTAGCACGGGTCTGTAAACTTGTGCAGTAGAACGGAATAAAAGGCAAATCATTGTTTTCTCACCTGGTGAGAGGTTGAAGTGTTTGGCTTATTCAATCTGTTACTACCTGTTGATCTCAACAAGTTATGAAAACAAAAATATCATCGATAACACCTCAGTTCGTTGAGTTTCTGTGAGACATCCACGGTCAAAGCGAGAACATTTCATTTCAAGGGTATTTCGGGACTTATTCTCAAATCACAAGTATAGTTTTGAAATTTCGATAATACCTTTTGAAATCCTAGCGATTAAGAGGCTAGACTCCAATGGGGATTTTTAATCTTTCATTACAGTGACTTGCTGACTCTGGTACCATATAGAGATTTTTATTCAAAACTTCGCCATTATCCACGTGAACATCTCAAGGATGGCCATATTCTTTTCTGTAAAAGTTGTCTATATTCTATCTTTTGTTACCTTTAAATTTGTAATTTGCCATGATAAGTATTCTGATCCAACGAATTCCCGCCAAGAAAGCTGTTCTACCAAGGACCATGCTTGTACACGACGAGAGATTGATGACACTAGTGACGAGGGTCCCACATTTGTCGGGCGAACCGGATTAATACGACTTGACGGGGTAAAGGTAAGCGAATTAAACTCTAAATTGGGAGTCATCACGATCTAAGTTTAATCTGGCATACGTCGATCGTATACGGATGAGCCATTCCCCAATAAACAAACTTGTACGGCGGTAGTTAATACGCGCAACCAGTCGGCGGACTTAAAATAATGCTTCCCGATCTTACCTTGAAAATATAGATTCTCTTTGCTGGTGGTCATATTTTTCGCTCGACTTTCGCTCTGAGAATTTGGTATTAAATCAAACTGTTTGAGTCTTGCTTGTTGGCCTTTGCATAATGTTAGGACTGGTAAAATCAATGTTGACACCACTGTTAGAAAAGAATCTATGGTTAAAGTAACTCCGAAATATGCTAAATCATCTCTCAAAAGCAGCATATTTTTTATCATAGTTTTGATTGAAAATTAATTTTTCTTTAATATGCAAATTAGTCCAACATTTAGTTATGATCTACTGCGAGGTACAAAAATATTCCTGTTCTAGAAATTTGTGAGAACGGGGGAGTGTTAATAGCTATTTGTACAGCAGTTAATCACATTTATTGATGACTAAAAGAAGACGAAAAAGTGATCATGGAATAAATCAATAAGGGCCAATTGAAAAAATTTTCCTCAAACTTAGGTATTCACTAATTTCACAGGTTGGTCACGTTGAGGAAGTAGATTTAGGGGACTGCCGGAGAAATCGATTTACAAGGGCGATGAAACCTCTTTTATTTGGTAAGGTGCGATCCAGAAGACGGATCAGTTTCTTTGTTTTACTTTTTCTTGTCACCTGGACAGGGTTCAACCGTTTTTGCTAGTCCAAATGGTTATGTCTCGAGAGTTCAAATGCCCACACTACGGTATTTTTTTTTCTGACGACTCAGTCTCTTCCTTTGCACACATAAACCAATGAGAACTCATTCCTACCCTCGACACTCAAATATTGGGGCGCCAACTGCCGATATAAATAATAAAAACTGAAAATCTCTAGTACAACCACCTCTTAGTCTGAATTTGGGGAAAGAGAGGTATGGGACAGAAAAGTCCATTATCATTGTAAATTACATGGGACACTCTCTCCAAGGGTGCGTTTGTTGCATTTCAATATCCTATATTTTACTCAAGTAAACTTATGCAAATATATAGATACAAAATTCAGTTCAAATACTGTACCTAGTTTATTTTCTTCTTGTTTTTTTGTTTTGTTTTGTTTTGTGTTTCTTTTTTTTTAGAAATACCAAATTTTTTAACCGATGAAGAATGTGACTACATTATAAAGCTAGCTGAAAACAATGGCCTACTATCAAGTACGGTTAGGGGAGGTCTCACGACGAAAAAAGATTTAGAAGTACCAAGAATCGAACGTGAGTAGTTCACGATACGGCCAAACTTCACTTTCAGAATAACGAGGGTTCCTAACAGATTAAGCAGCCTAATCAATGTTTAAAGGCTGATAGTTTCTAAAGAAACTGTTTGGGGCTGCGTCGGTGGGGGTAACGAAATAATTTGGATATATCAACAAAGTTGAAATGGTGAATTGGCTACCGTAACGATTACAAAAGCTGAGCGTTAGCCCTTCGTCGTAGCTCCATTTTCTGCCCATATCAAACTCACGGGGTACAAATAGTCTCTTACTGAATTTCGCGACCACGCCCACTTCATCGGCCCACTCAAATCGAGTGCGACTTGTGGATGTTATATCATCTTGCCGACTCTCTGTATAAAAATTTAACAATGTACCACCGAAATATTGAAATATAATATCATGGCTTTCCATTTTGTGTATTTTCGTACTACAAAGTAAAGTTTTTCCCTCGTCATTTTCACCTTTTCCCGAGCGGGTCCGTCAAAATTAAGAAGACGTTCGTGGTCAAAAAAAGACCGAGCAAGGAGTCTTCGGCGATTTCTCTCTTACGCAAGCGCAAATTGAACATGTACTGCCAAAATCAAAGAGAGGAACAAATTTCCTTTGTTTTGATATGTAAATTGTCGAACAAGGAGCAGATTGAACCTCGTCAAATGGCTAGTCAAAACAACCACACCTTCCTCCTTTTGCTCGTTTCCTGTTTTATAAGCGTGAAAGCAGTGGGAGAAGAATCGGGTAGCTCGGAAAGCGCTTC